GGAAAACTGCAATGGTAAGGATCACACTGGGATGGTGCTTACAACACCAAAATACAACATTTTCTTATCATCTGCAATAGAAATTTAAGATTTACACTACATAATTACAAATGTATATACTCCTTACCCAACCTAAACATCATGTACATGGTGGCTGCAGATGCGAAAACTGCCATGGTAAGGATCACACTGGGATTGTTGCTTACAACACCAAAATACAACATAATTATTATTATCATTATTCTGCAATAGAAATGAAGACTTACACTACATAATTACAAAATTAATGTATATACTCTATACTCAACCTAAACATCATATACATGGTGGCTGCAGATGCAAAAACTGCCATGGTAAGGATCACACTGGAATTGTGCATACAACACCAAAATACAACATATCATCATTCTGCAATAGAAATGAAGATTTACACCACATAATTACAAATGTATATACTCTATACTCAACCTAAACATCATGTACATGGTGGCTGCAGATGCAAAAACTGCCATGGTAAGGATCACACTGGAATTGTGCATACAACACCCAAATACAGCATATCATCATTCTGCAATAGAAATTTAAGATTTACACTACATAATTACAAAATTAATGTATATACTCTATACTCAACCTAAACATCATGTACATGGTGGCTGCAGATGCAAAAACTGCCATGGTAAGGATCTCACTGGAATTGTGCATACAACACCAAAATACAACATATCATCATTCTGCAATAGAAATTTAAGACTTACACTACATAATTACAAATATATAAACTCCACACCCAACCAAAACATCATGTACATGGTGGTTGCAGATGCGAAAACTGCAATGGTAAGGATCACACTCACGTCTGGGATTGTTGCTTACAATGACCAAAATACAACATTTTCTTATCATCTGCAACAAAAATGAAGATTTACACTACATATATACCCCATACTCATGTAAAACTATATGGTGGCTGCAGATGCAACCATGGTAAAGAAGTAGCATGGCTGATTTTATGCATTCCTTTCACTGGAATGGTGAAAGCCTTCAAGTGCATATGACACCATAATATTTTCTTATCATCTGTAGCAAAGATAGTGTGACTCAGTGAACATAAAAAAGATTGACATAACACATACACGTACACCCTTTTGATTGTCTCTTTATCGCTTGATGTTCGAGACATACTTCCAGCTCTGGCCAGCTCTTCATTCTTGCAAGGTTTCGAATCAGCTGCCATGTTTATTATGACGTTACCACTGGAATAGCTAACATTTAATTTAATTATCTGACATCAGGAATTAAGAGCTGGCCTGAACTGTAAGCTGTGAATTCTTTTTGGTTCAGTGTTCAGTACTATCAAAAGAGTGTATAGAAATTGTCATTGAGTTACACAACTTTCGTTGCAGGGAAGAGTATGCATTTTTGTGTTGTATGCACTTTAAGTTTCAGGATCAAAATTTTACCCATACTGACCCAAAGAAAAAAGATGTTAAAGCTTTATATTATCAAGACTATACAACAGCTGAAACCCCAAAAAAAAATTTCAAAGTTTTAGGGCTAAGGCTTTCAAGAGCTGGCCTGAGCTGCATGGAAGTATGATTTCTTTATGGTTTGGTGTTCAATACTATCAAAAGACTGTATGAAAATCTTCATTGAGTTACAATATTTGTGTTGCAGATGATAAGAAAATGTTGTATTTTGGTGTCGTATGCACTTCAAGTTTTAGCACCAACCATCAAACCCTTTTAGACCCCCCCCCCAAAAAAAATATGTTAAAGCTCATACACCCAAGATTTATATTAGGCCACACCAAGTAAATTGTATGGATGACGTCCTTTGGAGACCCTAAATCTAATGCAAGAGGGCGAAAAAAAAAGGGCCCTAAAAAACAAGATGCCTAGATTTAGAAATATACTAAGAGACGACAAATGTTAGGACACAAATTGAATGAGGTGACACAGTGTGACAAGCAAGAAGTCTTTTATTCATCATCAAAACAGCAATAAATCAGGTGTAACAGTAGTTGTCGTCCTGCCCTGTTCTCGCGTTACGGGTTTCACGTCAATCTGACGATTTGCGGCACTGTCGTGACTCTTTGGTCATAGTTACAGGAAGCGGAATTTCTTTTTTTTTTCTAGGAACAGGCCAAAATCAATGCGCGCGAGGACGTCATCCATAAAATTTACTTGGTGTGGCCTTATCAAGGTTGCAACAACTCAAACCCTAAAAGAGAAAGAGATTTAGGCCTTCAGGGCAAATGTAATATTGCTATGAGAGCCTTCAGGGTATGAACATGATCAGGTGCTGGTATCTTATTATATTGGAACTCTTGATATATTGGTTTCATGTTTCACTGCTGTATTGATAAAGAATTATGTTAACTTTGTATAAGTTACTAAGTGCAGGGCTGGAAATACTGGGTGCATGTGCACCTTAGTGCACCCAAATTTGCAGCTGTGCACCCAATTTTTTTTCTGTGGGTGCACCAGTGCACCCAAATATTCTCATAGGTTTACGTATATAAAGTTGTTATTAAATGTATAGTAGTATACAGCATATTCTTAACATCTAAGTGTCATAAAAATAATGAATCATCGTTATGAATCCTTTCTTTTGAAATGAAATGAAACATATTAATTAATAATATTAGTTTTTGCTGACATTGTACTAATATTCAATTTCATATGCTGCACCCAAAAAAATTTTTTTGCACTGAATTTTTTTTTACGTTGGGTGCATTTGTGCACCTACACATGTATTCCCAAAAATGAAATTCGAGCCCTAAAGTGTCATGTTTGTCCACCCATCCTGCTGTATCAACTTAGGCCACACCAATTTAAGTTGTTGGTTCTCGGATTTTTTCAGAAAAAATATGAAGCGACAGGGCGAAAAAAAATAAAAATAAAAACAGGTCTAGGCATCCTATTATAGGCTTAAATGCTACAAAATGAGCCATGAAGTCAACACAAAAGGCTGGGTTAAAATTTAAACGTTGAATTTTGAACTTTTAATCAAACCACTGCAATTATAGATGGGAAAACTGTAACAACTAGGAAGAAAAGGAATTTTCTCAACTGTTGGGGGCAAAATATGAGCATTTTTGAGTTGATTCAGAACCAGAATCTTTTTTTTTTTTTTTTGCAAATCAGAAAAAAATGTAGAGGCGAATCCGAGAACCAAGAAATTAAATTGGTGTGGCCTTAGTTTGCACATTGTGTTGGATTTAATTCTGTGGATCATGGATAATGAAACATTTTTTTCAGACGTGGAAGGAAGGAATACGTGGCCTTCTTCATAACTACAAGGCAAACAATGTGTGTCCCATGACACAGTTTCAAAAACAGTGAGTATCTGTGACTGACATTTATTTGTTATGTCTTAAAATAGAGACTATGTTGGTTATGTACGATGGTCAGTGTTAGAAATACCCATCTGCAGTCAGCATTTTGCAGAGACATTTCAATATTGCAGAGGAAAAATTAAGCTACCTGCAATTTTGCACACTCAATGGTGTTTAAGAGCTTTTGTGTTTACTACTGACTCAGTCTATTATAGTATACATCTACATGTACAAGTAACTTTGCATGTAAAATGTTTGCAGTTTTGTATATGCCATGGGTTTCTGTCCGGACTTTTAAGTGTGTATTTGCAGAAACTATTTCTGAATTGCAGAACAAAATTTTGTCATTCTGCTATATTGCAGCACACTGAAAAAAAGTATTTCTATCACTGATGATTTTTCGTTGGGTACTGTGTCTAATTATTTCTGTAAAAAGAGCAGCAACCAACAATTTGTCTGTTAGAGCCTGACTTCAATTATTCTGGTTGCCTAATATAATATACAGATCAAAATTCTAAAATGTTTTTTCTGTGACCGGTTGAATAGTGCACATGTCAGTGATGTAATTATAAGTTGAACTTTACTTTTAACAAATCATGAACAAAAGAGAAGCCAAGCTACAAGCTGGTAACTGTTCTATTTTGGAGCTACCTTTCGATAAAGGGTATCAGAATGAAGCAGCTGCATGATGAGACTATAATTGTCACCAGCATGGAGCCAGCCATGAGCCACAGACAGATACAAGGAGGTTATTTTAATGACTTCTACATGATTGTACGGGGCTCGAAATACATGCATAATCATGCAAGTTAGTGCAGGTAAAATTGGAGCTGTGCAGGTATTTCTAATGTCTACCTGCACCTAACCTGCACTGGTCCATGTACTGGGTATATGCAGGTTAGTGCAGGTAAAATTGGAGCTGTGCAGGTATTTCTGATGTCTACCTGCACCTAACCTGCACTGGTCAATGTACTGGGTATATGCAGGTTAGTGCAGGTAAAATTGGAGCTGTGCAGGTATTTCTGATATCTGCCTGCACTGGTCCATGTACTGGGTTTACTTAATTATATTATAGTTTTTTATGTGGATATTACTGGTAGGTGGATATTTATTTGCCTCAGTGATTGTTATCACCTATGTCGGTATAAAAGAAGTAATGGTAATGGTTTCTGAACAGTCTTTAGTATGATCCATACTTTCTAATTTCTTAGTGATGCAGGTAACAGTTGTCTGGTGCAGGTTTCAGTGTTCAATGTTGCATGCACCAGTGCAGAAGTACAGAAAAAAGTATATGTAAGCCTGTAAATTTAAAACAATCATATTGTTCTTCTGTCTTAGCTGGATGAGGCTGTCACTCCAAGTCAGTCCCAGTGGCAAAATTCCAGTCAGAAGGTGAGACTCCTCCTACATTATTATGTCTCGTTAAACATCAAAATCCTTCAAACCCTTCATTCTTTTTTTTAGCATAAAATAAAATTTTCCAAGGTAGAGTCCCAAACGTTTGAAGTGTTTGCCCTCATAAGGCCATGTTGATTTGATTATATGGATGACATCCACTGGGAACCCCAAAACTGATGCGCGTGTGCGAATAAAAAAAAAGGTTTTGCAAAAAAAAATTTCTTTCACTATGAAATCTACGTGGTCATGAAGGTTGAACAAATGGCACAGAATATGTTATGGTGAATAATCTACTCTTCGAATTCATTTCTTTACATTTCTGTCTTTTTTCCTTTGATTTTGGCATTCTACGACATTGCTATCGTTTCTAAATGTTTTCCTTGCAACTTATGGTATACTTTTGCTCATTTAGCAACTGTTTTGCACGATTTACAGTATGGTTGAAAACTTTTTTTTTGGAAACGGCCGAAAATTCATGCGCGCGCGGATGTCATCCATATAATCAAATCAACATGGCCTAAGGTAAAAGCAGAATTTGATTATTCTTCAAGCAGATCTTTTGGTGGCTACATACAAGACAGTATCATATCAGTCAGGCTGTATCCAATATGCCACCATTTGCATGGCTGGCAAAAAAAAGATTCCAGTACAAAGAAAAAGGTGACAACAAAAACACCAAAAAAACTCATGTCAAAAATACCAACAACAAAAAAATTGCTGAAAACACAAAAAAAATCATGTTTAAAGTTAAAACTTTTGGTCCAACACAAAAAAGTTCTCTCACCTAGAGCTTTCGACCAGTCACTCTGGTCTTACTCAGTAGACTGACCCAGTGAGGCTTGTCATGTGGCTTCTTTTAAGTGTGACGTCAACACTGGGTCAGAGGTATCTGGCAGACGATGTTGGTTGCGGTACAATGAAGCTTCAGGGTGTCACAAATAAAACCCTCTGCCTGGAGAGTAGAGTTTGATAACCAGTCTTGATTGCACTCAGAAAGTGTTGCGTGATGCTTTTTAAAGTTTGTTTTGAAACAATACCGGTGCAATAGCTCAATTGCTCGCTTTGTAACCGGGAGGTCGTGAGTTCAAACCCCGGCCGGGTCATACCAAAGACTTTAAAAATGGTACATACTACACACTCTACTCAGCATTTGGGAAAGAGTATGGGAGTTAAACACACACCACTACCAGTGGACTAGCCCCCTACTGTAGTGACTACTGTGTGTGGCCCAGGGCTAATGAACGGAGATGGGCGCCGCCCTATGCGTCACTGGACGGGGGAAGGCTCTTTAACTTTCGCTGTTTTTATTAGTTGTCAGGATGGGTCAAGAAGGTTATCATTGGGATGCACTTTGAATGCATGAATAGTCAGTCACTGACAAAAAGTAGTGGATGCTACTTGAATCCTCTAAAAGTTTTCAAAATGTATCTCTAGAGTTGCTTGAGTAACAGGTACTGTTTTCTTGTGCAAAACATGAATCTATTGGTCAGGCCACACCAATTTAATTTGTTGTTTCTCAGATTCGCCCGCTCCATTTTTTTTTTTACTTGCAAAAAAAAAAGATTTTAGGTTCTGAATCAACTCCAAAATGCTCAATGAAAGACATATTTTGGCCCCAACTGTCGAAGAAAGTCCTTTTCTTCCTAGTTATTAAAGTTTTTCAATGTTACAATGCAACTTCATCTCATTAAAAGTTCAAAATCTATTATTTCAATTATAAACCAGTCTGGTATGTTGACTTTATGGCTCATATCGTAACATTTCTGGCCATCATGGGGTGCCTTTTTTTATTTTGCCTTGTCGCTTCATATTTTTTCTGAAACAATCTGACAAACAACAAATTAAATTGGTGTGGCCTTAAGTGTCATGTTTTTCATTTCTCCCTGTTTTAGTCACATGCTGACAGTAGAGATATGCATACTAGAGATAGGATTTTCTGTATGACCAATTTAATATGTGGTATTGACCCATTATGTACTACAATATGGGGCACTTCTCTTTTCCTTGCAGCATTACCAGAACATTTGCCTCTGGCAAAACAGAGAAGATGGTTTTTCAGAGTCTGAAGGACCTTGGACTTCCAAATGGAAAGGTCAGGCCTCAAGTGTTTTATTTATTTATTTATTTATTCATTTGTTGATTTATTTTTCACAAGCTGGCTGGGTTGCACCTAACATCCGTGTCCATAATATCACCAGGGTCCATAATATCACCACCTTGAGAAACAGTGTGCTTACAGATATTTTTACTGCAACATACCCTAGGTATGTACATTTGATGTGTGAAGGAGTGCATACCAAAAGTATGTTGCAGTAAAAATATCTTAAAGCACACTATTTCTCAAGGTGGCAATATTATGGACCCTGGTGACATTATGGACACGGATGTTACAGCTTGTAAAAGCTGATTTTTGAGGGAGCCCAGCATATACAGGACAAGACATGTTTCAGGAGACAAAAGTGGGCAACATTCAGTGGAAAGAAATAAAATACGACATGTCAAAACAAATTTACTGTCCATAACTCATAGTCTTAGCTGGTTCAACGTCAAATACAATAGAGGTCAAAATACATGTATGAGCTACCAAAGTTCCAACTATGCCATTTCTATGTACCGGTAAATCAAGTTGGCACTTTTAGGCTTTAACTCTAGCTGGTAGCTAAGTGAGAAAAGTCTGTATTCTGATAGATATGTGAGAAAAGTCTGTATCTGACTGATGATGCGTGTAAGAGATTTGTGCCATTGCTCGATACTGCAATAGCAGAAGTTTGAGATCTGAGAAAAATGTTGGCTGAACTTATACCTTCACTGTGGCATCAGGAGCAGCAAAAAGAAAGTCGGTGAATTATTTGTTAATGATAAGTTCATGATACAGAAATGACCACCAAAACCACAACTATAAAATTACAGGCCCTGGGGAAAAATGATTTTTTTCATCACTGCTGCTGCCCTCCCACTCACAGCCAGTAAGGCCACAGCAAGTAAATTTTATGGATGACATCCTCCGCAGACTCCAAATCTAATGCGAGCGGGCGAAAAAAAAAAACAAGGCGTGCTGAAAAAAAACAAGGTTCCTATTTTGACTCAATCATTGTACATATGGTTTTGATTCAGTGGGAACATCACATATACACAGCCAGCATCACATATCACTGCATCAAAGTAAGAAACAAAACATTAAATCAGAGCCTTTACTTGTCTCCTCTCTTCATAGCTATCTGCCATTCACCTTCCGGCATGGCATTACAGGCATCTTTGCCCATTTTCGGCATGTTGACCACTGTCATGACGTCAGAAGGCAACAAAATTTCTTGTGTTTTTTTCCAAAATCAGGTGAAAATCAATGCTCGCACTGATGTCATCCATAAAATTTACTTGCTGTGGCCTAATCCACTGGGCCTGGAATGTCCCACTTACTCTGTTTCCCACGAATCACAAGAGGGATGTTAAACGATACGAGTGGAAACTCCCGGATCCGCCTGTCCGAACGCATTTGCTCGCGAATTCGTCACCCTTGGACCGCGCACTGGGAGAGTAGAGGAGGTACATGTCTACATGAACACCATACATCAGCAGCCACAGAAGGCTTAGTGCTGGTAATCCCTTCCCTGCATTGTGTGAGGGTGTAAATGGGCTGACTGTCCGAAGAATCCCAGAAAAGAGCCTTGGCTACTATAATTCCGTGTGGGGGGATATGTATCATCCTTTGTTAACCTCATTGTAAGTTCTGATAGTTCTGGGGATGCAGTTACTCTTGCCAGTAGATACTAGCTTTCAGAACACAGAATAACTTGACTGAAAACGTCATCCTTTGTTAACTTCATTGTCAGGTTGCGCTATATCAGTTCTGATAGCTCTGAGGGATGTACATGTAGTTACTCTTGCAAGTAGATACCAGCTTTCAGAACATAGAATAACTTGACTGAAAACGTCATCCTTTGTTAACTTCATTGTCAGGTAACGTTGCGCTATATCAGTTCTGATAGCACTGAGGGATCTACATGTAGTTACTCTTGCAAGTAGATACCAGCTTTCAGAACATAGAATAACTTGACTGAAAACGTCATCCTTTGTTAACTTCATTGTCAGGTTGCGCTATTTCAGTTCTGATAGCACTGAGGGATGTACATGTAGTCACTCTTGCAAGTAGATACTAGCTTTCAGAACATAGAATGACTTGACTGAAAACATCATCCTTTGTTAACTTCATTGTCAGGTTGTGCTATATCAGTTCTGATAGCTCTTAGGGATGTACATGTACATGTAGTTACTCTTGCCAGTAGCTACTACATGTAGCTTTCAAAACTTAACAATAGTGAAGGAACATGTCTGCAAGATAGATAAGAATAGCCTGAATGAGTATGCTCTTTTTATCAATGTATATCCTGTGCATAATGTATACAATGTCATGGTAGAGACTTTGATGTGGTCGAGTCTACTGATAGAGATTTTGATCTGAGTCTTTGTCGACAGAGGCTCCAATCAGGAAGCTGTTAATGTTTTAGGATGGTTTCCCATTTATAAATCCTACATGTCAAGTTAATTCATAGATCTAAAGTGACATGAATTAAAGTTGAGAAGTTCTTACTGTCTTAAAATCTTTTAAGATATCAAAATTTTTAAAAATCTTAAAATTTGCAGACTCCAGTCGGGATCTCTGCTGTTAGAATTTATTTGTTTATTTTTCGTTTGCACATATGTATAAAACAAAAACAATACAGAAAGTTAATATAATAATCAAACGGAACAGAATATAAAATAATTAACCTAAATGGAATGGATGTGCTGGAGGCGGAAAAAAGCCTTAGGTCTTATTCTTGTCCTCCTCCAAAGAAAAGTAATAATAACAACAATAATAATAAGGATAAATAAACAACATATGAAAAATAACAGTAAGTAAGCTTATTTCCCACAACAAAATTGCCTATTAGCAGAGATCGCGATCGGAGTTTCTGTTGACTTTGATCTGGATGTCTACCAGTAGAATCGCTGCTTCAACCAGATCAGTCTACCCCGACATACTAGTATATATCTATATAAATTCTCATTCTTCTCTTTCTTGACCAATATAGAACGACGAGATTGAGCCTGCAGACTTTACCTTTGAGAAGTTCTTTGAGCTGTATAAGAAGATCTGCCCAAGGACAGACATCGATGACCTCTTCCACAAGCTGTAGGTCACATTTCTTCTTAGAATGAATGAATGAATGAATGGATCGGTGGGTGGGTGTGTGTGTTAATGGATGGATGGATGGATGATGAATGAATGAACGAATTAATGATTATTCTTTTGTCTTGTGACATTTGTGACAAGCCCAAATGGGCTTATAAGATGAAAAAAAAAATCATCGTACAAAAAGGAATGGTACAGAGTCAAATCAAATCAAAAAGTAACATAGGAGATTTACTTGGGTAGAACACATTGTGCTTGCACAAAACCCGTAATGTATTGTGTTTTAGCACTTTGGAAAAACATCTTGTTGAAGTCACTGTTCACACCTAGATTCAGTGCACAGTGGACCAGTCATAATTGCCCTTATGAAGATGACAGATGGTCATCAAAACTTTAAACAAGAACAGTTACTGTTGTTTAACAAGTGGTTGTCAATGAAGAACTTTGCTTTTCATCACTGACAAAGCAATAGAAGTTACTCATTCTGGTATTTATATATAGTCACGCCCTTTAGGCACACTTTGCAGGTCACACGTTTTTTTTTCTGTTTTCCAGGAATGGAGGGAAGGAGTACCTATCAGTTGACCAGATAATCAACTTCCTGAATGAGGTTTGTAGAGTTTGATTAGGCCACACCAATTTAATTTCTTGGTTAACGGATTCGCCGCTTCATTTTTTTCAGATTTGCAAATAAAAATAAAAATCCAGAATCAACTGCAAAATGCTCATATTTTGCCCTGAACAGTTGAAAACAGACCTTTTCATCCAAGTTGTTACAGTTATTCCATCTTTCAATGCAATGGTATCATTAAAAGTTCAAAATTCATTGTTTAAATTTTGAACCAGCCTGGTGTGTTGACTTCATGGCTCCTATCGTACCATTTGGGGCCATAATAGGATGCCTAGGCCTGTTTTTATTTTTATTTTTTTTTCGCCTGCCCGCTCCATTATTTTTCTAGAAAAATCCGTTAACCAAGAAATTAAATTGGTGTGGCCTTAGATAAAAAAATACTGATGCAAAGAAATGTGCAATCCGTTCTTGACCCATGTCACCGCAAGGGCGTTTTTCAATGTTCCCTGCGGACATACATTTACAAAATATACTTAAGTAACAAACAGGAAAACAAAGGTACAAAATAACTTAATTACAAAATAACATGTTTGTAAAAGTGCTTCAAAATCATACGGTAAACTAATGACTTGTATGAAACAAGTGAATAAAATATAACAAATGAAATAGATAAAGAAGGTAATGGAAATTTGCATATCAATGTTACAAAACAAAAGTAACGGTTACTATGTTGCGAGAACATTCTGGTTGTACAAACGCTTAAACAAGGCGACGGAAGCTGCTGTTTTCAATGTAGATGGGAGAGCGTTCCAAAGAGCTGCACCAGTACTGGACAAGGATTTCTTTTTGTACTGCAGATGAGCCTAATTAGGCAGTTGTAGTCATTCAGGGTTGAATGATACGGACAAACTGTAACATGCATGGGGCTATCTGTTTTACAAATATACTGTATACATGTAAATGCAATTCAAATAGAGTGCAGTATGTCTCATTATTGGGAGGTGTATTCATGTAATAATAATACCATCATTGATGAAGCAATTCACTATCATGGCATCATTCATCCAGTTTTCAAGAAAACAGTCAAACCTGCCCAAGTGCCAACCTCTTCTGGCTGGCCACCTGGCCAAAACAACTACCCTTTCCCGGTCCCTGAATGTTTTTCCTATAAGCTCAAGCATGAAGCAACTTGTCCAAGAAGGCCACCTGTCCAAGAAGACCAGTTTATCACAGTCCCATGGGCGGTCTTGTTGGGCAGGTTTGACTGTCATTAAAATCACAAGACAGTCGTTGTCGATGACCTCATGTTGCTTTGTGAGATGTCAAATGGTGAGGAAAATAACGAAATGTTTCATGAGGCTTCCCGTTTCTAAGTTACTAACTGGGTTCCCACCGCTCCCTGTGGGGTGGCTTCCGCTCTTCAATTTTGGCAACATTTCGAAGGGAAGAAAGTAATAAATTTCTGTCGCTCCAGAGTGTTTTTCACAGAACCGGAAACCCCTAAGGCACACTACAGTTCTGAGTAATCTAATTACATGTACATGCATGGGTTAGTTCACACCTATTCAATCTGTCGGTTCTCTGATTTTTTAAAGAAAATATATATGAAGTGATAGGACAAAAAAACAGGCCAAGGCATCCTATTATATCCCCAAATGCTACCACAGGAGTCATGAAGTCAACACACTAGGTTGGTTTATGATTCAAACAATGAATTTTAAAACTTTCTTCAACTGTTGGGGTCAAAATATTGAACATTTTGTTTTTACAAATCAAGAAATCAGAAAAAAATGAAGTGGACAAAGCTGAGAACCAATTGATTGATATTTGGTGTGGCCTTAGTCAACTTTCTCAGTGCAGGTTAAAGATGGGTCTTCAATACTTTCTCCATCTACAGCAAAAAAGAGACCAGCAGAATCTGTTTTTTTCTCAGAAAATAATGAAGCGGGCAAAAATTCATAATGACCAGAGTCAACTTTCTCAGTGCATGTTTAAAGGAGTTCTGAAGGCTAGCCAGAAGTGCTATTTTCCCATAGATTGGGTTTCAATGAATACATAATTTGCCGAATTTTTACCATATTTCGCTTGGGTGACTTGCGCAGCGCGTGTTTTGCAACGCGATACCAATATCGTTTTTCCCCATGCGGACCCTCTGCGGTTTACATCCGGGAACTTTGAATTATGCAATGCTCATACTCAGAACTGTCATGGCAGACGTAGACTCAGACTTGGCATCAGACTATGCAAATGACAGCCAAAATGACACGCTATCGGACACTGACGACAGTGATCTAGATGTTGCAGGTTCTTCTGCTAGATTGTAGTGAACAGGTCAACACACAGGACTTTTGTGGAGCTTCAAGGTTTATTGTGTTTCCTCCAGGACTCTAACTCCAGAGTGAGGTTCATGGGTTGGACTATTCCGGGCTGGACTATTCCACTGTCAGATGGGGGGGAGGGGTTACAACAGGACTGCTCTACTTCTAAAATAGGGGGGATTCTTCCGTAAATAATTTCATCAGGTTGGAAGATACTTAGGGTATAGAATTTTCTTCTTACACAACCAGTAAGGTTCTCACCTGCTTACGTTTCTCAGCTCAGCAATACAAGCTCAGCCACGTTTGGGATTGCATTCTCGCCGCAAAAGCGCCACCTACTTTGGCGTTAAATAGCAGCGAGTTGCAGAACTCCAGTCAGAAGCTCTGAGGAAGGTGTCTGATAGACATCGAAACGTAAGCAGGTGAGAACCTGACTGGTTGTGTAAGAAGAAAATTCTATACCCTAAGGGGGGATTCTTGTGTGGTAATGGACAAATGGTATACAGTGGGTTCACAACACCTATGTTTCTCTCCATCTGCAGCAACAAAGAGACCCGCGGCTGAATGAGATCCTGTTTCCATTCTTCGACAGAAAAAGAGTCGTGGCGCTCATACAGAAGTACGAGGTCGACCCAGAGTTCACCAAAAAAGGTCAGGAAGTTTGCCACACATTTTCAAATTATGATCCCGTTCTTCATCATGATATTACTGTTTTTCCTCTTTTTGGTCTTGTACATTTGTAGCATGATAGTTGAATGATTGAATGAATGAATCTGTTTATTTTGGGATCGTATCCATGACATACAGACAAAAGACAGACAGACAACTACACATACATATAGAGCAATCTATATACATTAAAAAAAAGGAGTTTCTGAACTGACAATCTGATTTTAAAATGCTGTGTACAAGGCCATTGTCCACTATACACAATCGGTTGATAAAAGAATAGCATAATTAGGACAATTTAAAGTTTCTTGCATATCTGTACCTAAGGCCACACCAATTTAATTTGTTGGTTCTCGGATTTTTTCAGAAAAATATGAAGCGACAGGGCGAAAAAAAATAAAAATAAAAACAGGTCTAGGCATCCCATTATAGGCTTAAATGCTACGGAATGAGCCATGAAGTCAACACAAAAGGCTGGGTTAAAATTTAAACATTGAATTTTGAACTTTTAATCAAACCACTGCAATGATAGATGGGAAAACTGTAACAAGTAGCAAGAAAAGGACTTTCCTCAACTGTTGGGGGCAAAATATGAGCATTTTTCAGTTGATTCAGGACCAGAATCACATTTTTTTTTTTTGCAAATCAGAAAAAAACGAAGAGGCGAATCCGAGTACCAACAAATTAAATTGGTGTGGCCTAAGTGTGGATCCCATTCGACTCAACTCGACTCAAAGTTAGACACTATAGATTACTTATTAAGCTTAGCTGACAGTCAGAAATACTATAAACAAATATCATTATGGAATGCTTAGAATCAAGAAAGGATTGGGGAGCTAACCTAAAAGTATGTCATTTTACTGTAAGGTCTTTTTGGCAACTGTCATTCCATTCAGAGCTGAACATTAACACAACTCTTTTAGGCCAATGCTGTGGGTTCATGATGGCTTTGTTGTGTATCTCTCTGGTAACTATGAACATTCTTTTACTTTTGAACTAGATACTAAAAGTAATGTTAAA